GCATTATTTACAACAGCCAAATTTTAGAAGCAACTCAAGTGTTCATTGACAGGTGAATGGATAAAATCATATATAAACAAAATGGAATATTACTCGGCCACAAAAAAATGAAATCTAGCCATCTGCAAAAACATGGATAGATCCAGAGAGTATAATGCTCAGTGAAATAAGTTAGAGAAATATAAATACCATATGATTTCACTCATGTGGAGTTTTTTAAAGATTTTATTTATTTATTCATGAGAGACACACAGAGGCAGAGACATAGGCAGAGGGAAAGCAGGTTCCCTATGGGGAGCCCGATGTGGCACTCAATCTGGGATCATGCCCTGAGCCAAAGGCAGATGCTCAACCACTGAGTCATTCCCCAGGTGTCCTTTATATGTGGAGTTTAAGAAACAAAACAAATGTACAAAGAAAAAAAGAGACAAACCAAAAAACAGACTCAACTATAGAGAGCATTCTGATGGTTACTAGATAGGAGGGGAATAGAGTAGAATGGGTGAAATACATGATAGGGATTAAGAGTACACTTATCATGATGAGCACTGTAATGCACAAAATTGCTGAACCACTATATTGCACTTCTGAGACTAATATAAAACTGTATGTTAACTATTATGGAATTTAGTAAAAAAGCACAAGCAACTAAAAAAAACTCCAAAAACAAAAAACAAAAAAGACCTATCAGACTTCATCAAAATTAAAAATTCTGTGCCAAAGGATATCATCAAGAAAATGAAAGATGACCTACAGAATGGGAGAAAATATTTGCAAACCACATATCTGATAATGGTCCTGTATCCAGAATGTAAAAAGAACACTTAAAATTCAACAAAAACCCAAAAACTCAATTAAGAAATAGTCAAAGGATGTGAACAAAAATTTTCTCAAAAAAATAAAGATGCTCAACATCATTAGCCATCAGGGAAATGGAAATGAAAACTGTAATGAGAAAAAAAACAGACAAGAACAAGTGTTGACAAGAATGTGAAGAAACTGTAATCCTCATACTGCCAATGGAATTAGAAAATTGTGTAGTCATTTTTTTATTTTTTTGTTTTTTTTTTTTATTTTTTATTTTTTTTATAAATTAATTTTTATTGGTGTTCAATTTACCAACATACAGAATAACACCCAGTGCTCATCCCGTCAAGTGTACCCCTCAGTGCCCGTCACCCATTCACCCCCACCCCCCACCCTCCTCCCCCTCCACCACCCCTAGTTCATTTCCCAGAGTTAGAAGTCTTTATGTTCTGTCTCCCTTTCTGATATTTCTCACACATTTCTTCTCCCTTCCCTTATATTCCCTTTCGCTATTATTCATATGCCCCAAATGAATGAGAACATACACTGTTTGTCCTTCTCCGGTTACTGTGGCCAAGTTCAAAAAGGGTGTTGCCTGAGTTCTTCTCTGGGATTTTGATGGAATCTTGTCTCACATTTAGATCTTTCATCCATTTTGAGTTTATCTTTGTGTATGGTGCATGAGAGTGGTCCAGTTTCATTCTTCTGCATGTGGATGTCCAATTTTCCCAGCACCATTTATTGAAGAGACTGTCTTTCTTCTAGTGGATCGTCTTTCCACCTTTATTGTATATTAGTTGAGCATAAAGTTCAGGGTCCACTTCTGGGTTCTCTGTTCTGTTCCATTGATCTATATGTCTGTTTTTGTGCCAGTACCACACTGTCTTGATGAACACAGCTTTGTAGTACAACCTGAAATCTGGCATTGTGATGCCCCCAGATATGGTTTTCTTTTTTTAAAAATTCCCCTGGCTGTTTGGGGTCTTTTCTGATTCCACACAAATCTTAAAATAATTTGTTCTAAGTCTCTGAAGAAAGTCCATGGTATTTTGATAGGGATTGCATTATACGTGTAAATTGCCCTGGGTAACATTGACATTTTCACAATATTAATTCTGCCAATCCATGAGCATGGAATATTTTTCCATCTCTGTGTCTTCCTCAATTTCTTTCAGAAGTGTTCTGTAGTTTTTAGGGTATATTTTGAGAACCATTTGAATGGTAAATGGTTCTCCAACCTTTTATTTTCAGGTTGTAGGTGTCCTTCTGTCTAAAATGAGTCTCTTGTAGACAGCAAATAGATGGGTCCTGTTTTTTTATCCAGTCTGAAACTCTGCGCCTTTTGATGGGGTCATTAAGCCCATTCACGTTCAGAGTTACTTGAACTTCTTCTTAAAGGGGAGTTTTAAGAGTCCCCCTTAAAATTTCTTGCAGAGCTGGTTTGGAGGTCACATATTCTTTCAGTTCCTGCCTGTCTTGGAAGCTCTTTATCTCTCCTTCCATTTTGAATGAGAGCCTTGCTGGATAAAGTATTCTTGGTTGCATGTTCTTCTCATTTAGGACCCTGAATATATCCTGCCAGCCCTTTCTGGCCTGCCATGTCTCTGTGGAGAGGTCTGCTGTTACCCTAATATTCCTCCCCATGAAAGTCAGGGACTTCTTGTCTCTTGTTGCTTTAAGGATCTTCTCTTTATCTTTGGAATTTGCAAGCTTCACTATTAGATGTCGAGGTGTTGAACGGTTTTTATTGATTTTAGGGGGGGATCTCTCTATTTCCTGGATCTGAATGCCTGTTTCCCTTCCCAGATTGGGAAAGTTTTCAGCTAGGATTTGTTCAAATACATATTCTGGCCCTCTGTCCCTTTCGGCGCCCTCGGGAACCCCAATTAAACGTAGGTTTTTCTTCCTCAGACTGTCATTTATTTGCCTTAATCTGTCTTCATGGTCCCTTAATTGTCTGTCTCTTTTTTCCTCAGTTTCCCTCTTTGCCATCAACTTGTCTTCTATGTCACTCACTCCACCACGTTAACCCTCGTCGTTAGGACTTCTAGTTTGGATTGCATCTCATTCAATTGATTTTTAATTTCTGCCTGATTGGATCTAAATTCTGCAGTCATGAAGTCTCGTGAGGCCTTAATGCTTTTTTCTAGAGCCACCAGTAGCTGTATAATGGTGCTTCTGAATTGGCTTTCTGACATTGAAGTGTAATCCAGATTTTGTAACTCTGTGGGAGAGAGGGCTGTTTCTGATTCTTTCTTTTGAAGTGAGGTTTTCCTTCTAGTCATTTTGCTCAGTGCAGAGTGGCCAAAAACAAGTTGTATTGGAACACGGGAGAGTATCACTGGTCCGTCCAGCTTGTCTTCTGGGGGAGGGGCCTGCTGTGCTGATTTTCAGGTGTCAGCACTTGGGGGAGCTGCTCTGCCCCTGCCTGCTGCAGGGCTCAGCGGGGGTTGTTTACCCCGTGGGACCCAGGGAGGAACAGCAGCAGTTGCTATGGCAACTCTGGAAGCCTGGATTCAGCCTCTGCAGGAACTACGGGGCTCGGGGCTCTCGGGGCTCTCGGCTCTCTCGGCTCTCCGTCCGCAGGGCCTGGAGGCTCCGGGGCGGGGCCGCTGATCTGCTCAGCTCGGGGCAGGAGCGTCCTTGCTGTCCTGGGCCCTCCCGGCCTCTGCCTGTCCCGGGGGAGGCCGGATCCTGGGCTGTGTCCTGGCGCCCTGTGCTCCGGGGCCTGCGCTGTTGGATTCGCGCTCCCGCCCTGCAGCTCCCTCCCTGGATCCGCTCCCGAGCCCCTCCGAGCTGCTCCGGTCGGTCGGTCCCTCCGTGCGGGCTGCAGCCCTTAGGGAGCTCGGAGCACTCTCCTGCGCTCGCAGGTGTCTGTTAGTGTCCCCGGGAGCCCGAGGGCATCCCCGCTCTCCTGGGTCCTGCTCCAACTCCCTGCGAGCCCCTTTCCGCCCGCCCGGGAAGGTTGGTGCAGCTCCTGCTCCTCCGGGACGGGGCTCTCCCGTCCTGGGGACACTCGCCCCGGCCTCAGCCCGGCTCCTCGCGGGGCCCCTCCCCCTCGGAGGCCTTTTGTTCCTTTATTTCTTTTTCCCCCGTCTTCCTACCTTGATAGAAGCGCGAACTCTTCTCACTGTAGCATTCCAGCTGGTCTCTCTTTACATCTCAGGCTGAATTCGTAGATTTTCAGGATGGTTTGAAGGTTATCTAGGTAACTTGGTGGGGACAGGTGATTTGGGGACCCTGCTCTTCCGCCATCTTGCCCCCGTGTAGTCATTTTGGAAAATAGTTTAGCGATTCCTCATATGTTGAACTGAAGTTATTACATGACTCATCAATTCTATATGTAGATATATACCCATGGATTTTAAATGTTTGTACAAAAACTTGTACACAAATGTTCACAGCAGCATTAGTCATTATAGTCAAAAAGTGCAAACAACCCAAATATCCTTCAGCTGACATGAAGTGTAGTACATCCAAAAAATGGAATATTATTCAGCATGAAAAAGAATAAAATACTGATATATTGAAAACATTACATTAAGTGATAAAAATCAGACATAATAAAAAAAATCAGACATAATAGGCCACATATTATTCAATTTATATGAAATATCTAGAAAAGGCAAATTCATAAATAGAAAGGAGATGAGAAATTGCCCAGAGCATTAGGGAGAGGGAATGGAGAGTGACTGCTTAAAGTTTCTGAAGTGATGAAATATTCTTGCAATTAGATCGTGGTGATGGCTCCATAACCATGTGCATATAATAAAACCAAGGTAAATCTTATGGTAACTAACTCAATAGAAAAGAGAGAAAAACACATTAAAAAATAAGAACTGCCCCAATTACCTAACAGAATTATAGTTAAGAATGACAAAAAATTATAGTGTACTTAATAAATATTAATGTTCCATATTGTTCATTTCCCTATAAATTTATACTTAACAGTAAGTTTTTAACATTTTGTTAAAGAATTTCAGAGATCACAGACAAATCTTAATTTTTCCCAGTGATTATTAAGATCAGTTTGCATGATTTCAGCTTGCATATTCACTTTTGGGGTCCCAAACTCTCCTGCAATACCTTACAGTGCCTGTACAATGTTAAGAACTCTCATCTGAAGCATGTTTTGAAAAAGTATAAAGAAATAATGTGATAGCATATAATTTAAGGATAATATCAATACCTACCTGTAATTCCTCTGCTGTGGAAACATCCAGTCCTGTTAAATCTTGTATTCTCATATTAATTCGAGACACCACAGGGTTTTCATAGCCAGAGAGCCAAGCACTAAGAACAAGAATATTAGTTTTACTGATAATGTTTCACTACATAAAGATTAAAAGCCATCATTTCAAAAGCCATAATATATGAGACAGTAAGCCTTCACCTATAGGCATTTAGTTGGCTTGCTTGATAGGATTTTTATTGATGAATGCTGTAATTTTTTAAAGATGCTACCTTTTAAAGGTTAGAAAAAACTGACTCATTTATTTCAGTTTCTTTGAAAACAGCTGGATTAATTTAAGAAGGTTACAGAGAGCTATTACATTGAGAATTTTTTAAAATTCTGTAAAAATACATACCAAATTGAAAACAATTTTTCTTTTTAGGTAAGGTATAGGAACTGACTGGGGTGGAGATCATAGGGTTTTTAGCCTGACTTCTACAGTGTAAATATTTTATAAGAAAAAAATTCATGTAGGGGCACCTGGGTGGCTCAGTTAAGTGTCCAACTCTTGATTTTGGCTCAGGTCATGATCTCAGGGTCATGAGACTGAGCCCCTCATTGGGCTCCATGCTGAGTGGGGAACCTGCTTGAGATTCTCTCTTTCTCTGCCCCTCCCCCTACTCACACACTCTTTCTAAAATAATTTTTTAAAAAAAGAAAAAATTAATGTTATTTGCATAAATAAAAATAAGTTTTTAAAAGGTACCAAAATACACCCAGTAGGAAGACTATAATAAAAACAGGTGGACAGGGGCCCCTGGTTAGCTCAGTTAAGTATTTGATTCTTAGCCCAGCTCCTGATATCAGGATCTTGAGTTCAAGCCCCCAAATAAAACAAAAGATGGACAATTACAGGTGCTGGTGAGAATGTGAAGAAATCAGAACCCTCATACATTGCTGGTAGGAATGTAAAAATGGTGTAGCTGCTTTGGAAAACAGTATGGCACTTCCTCAAATTGTAAAATATACAGTTACATATGACTCAGCAATTCCAATTCCAGGTACATACAGAAAAATTAAAACATATATTCATACAAAAACTTCTACATGAATGTTCATAGCAGCATTAGTAATGGCCAAAAAGTGGAGATAATCCAAATATTCATCAACTAATGAAGAGATACATAAAATGTGATATATCATCCATATGATGGATTATTATGCCATGAAAAGGAAGCGGGTACTGATACATGCCACCATATGGATGAACCTTGAAAACATTATGTTAAGTAAGCAAGATACAAAAGGCCACATATTACGATTCCATTTATGGGAAATGTCCAGAATAGGCAAATCAACAGATATAGAAAGTAGATCAGGGGTTGCCAGAGGAAGGAGGAATGAGGAGTTACTGCTAATAAGTACAAGCTTTCTTTTTGGGGTAATGGGAATGTTTGGAAATTAGATAATGGTAAAGATTGCATAACTAAAAAGACTAAAATAACCACTGAGTTATACACTTTAAAGGAGGGAATTTTATGGTATGGGAACCATAGCTAAATAAAAAAAGCACCCCAAATTACACTATCTCCTTTGCATATGCTTCTTCCTGGTCTATCAACCTCATTCTTTCTTCACTTCTCTCATCAACCTCTGATTCCACGATCTATCATTTCAACAACATTCTTGCTAAGTGCCTAAATTAAACTGCCTGGCAAAAATACTATCCTCAGGAATGATTTTTTTTCACTAAGCTTATACCTGTGTCATCAAACCCTACTGGACAAAGTCCTGAAATAGGGCAAATGTATTCCACTGATAATTCATGAATACCAACTTCAAATGGGCCCAGACTCCTACTCCTTCTTCTACTCTGAACTCCAACCCACCTCAGCTTCCCCCTTCTCTCAGTACATATCCCCTACTTGACAGAAAATAGAAACTGTACAATCTACCTACGATTGCATCTATCTGTTCCTTTTAGTTCATCTAGTTCCTTCATTCCAGTTCCAAAGAGATTTCTCTCCATAATCTAAAGCTAATCCTCTGCCTTAGATTCTATTATTTTCTGACATTTTAGGAAGCATAAATCATTGATTGGCCCTTTCTGCCTTAATCAACTTTCCTTCTCAATTCCTCTCACAGCTTTAAACTGAGCTCAAGTCTCTCCCTTAAATATATAAAAATTCTTTCCTTCAGGGGTGCCTGGGTGGCTCAGTCAATTAAGCATCTGTCTTCAGCCCAGATCATGATCTCAGGGTCCTGGGATGGAGTCCCACATGGGGCTCCCTGCTCAGCAAGGTGTCTGTCTCTCTTTTCCTCCCTCAACTTGTGCGCTCTAACAAATAAAATCTTTTAAAAAAATGTCTTTCCTTCAAGGCTCTATCTTCTTCCAGCCACCAATCTTTCTCTTCCCTCTGTAAGCCAACTTTTCCCACAGACTCTTCATTTCTTTTTTAATATTTTAAAGTAATCTCTACACCCATTGTGGAGCTCAAAATTACAACCCCAAGATCAAGAGTCACATTTCTACCAACTGAGCCAGCCAAGAGTCCCAAATCATTTCTTAATTCATTCCAGGGTAGCTTCAGTCCCTTACCACTCTATCAAAACTGCTCTTGGTAATATCACCTACTTAATGTGGTACTAAATCTACCAAGATTTTTCCAATTCTCATTGTATTTGCTCTTTTAGTAACAACTGAATGTTCATCCTTCTGGAAACTCCTCCTCATTCATTCTCCAGCATTCCTTCAGTCTCTCTGGTTGGCTTGGTCTTGGTCTCCCTTACAGCCTCTCCCACTATAGTCTCTCTCCAGGTGCCCCACCTTGATTTCTTTAAGAACATATTCCTTCTAGCCCCAAGGCCCGTGCATGTGCTCTTTCTTCTTTCTGCCCAGAATAGTCTCTTTTTCACTTTGCAAAGATCAGGCTTTGGATTATCAACTTAGTCATCTCTTCTTCAGAGAAGCCTTCCTTGACTCCTCCCTGTCGAAACTTATAATTTTTATTTTAATAAGAGGAAAAGGAAGGAGAGTGAAGAAGTTTTTACTAATCACAACATTAAATTGACATGACATGCTATTAGAACTGAACCAGGATAAATAATACTGTTATAAAATTTATATTTCTCACACCCAAATAATACTGTTATAAAATTTATATTTCTCACACCCATTTCAAAAGAAAATATATAGGATTCTTCTTGTTCTGATGGACTGACTTCAGTAAAATTATATTAAAAATAGTAAGTAACAATAATATACTTTCTCAAACTGTGTTAAGAAGTTGTAAGAAAGGCAGCTATAAAATCTATAATGATTACAATTGACAGGATTTTTTAAAAACATTAAGAATCACATCTCTTTTTTAACTGTTACATTAATGCACCTTTTTCATTGGTAAGGCGATATTTTGCTGTGGATACTACAATGATTAGCAAGTCTCTTAAGAAACATTCTCTGGTTCAAGACTAAAATGAGTTTTCTAATTTTGCCCTCCTTTAGAACACAGGCAACTATCTTTGTCTTTTGTATGCAGGTGGGTAAATATTGTGAAACACAGTTATTGCAATCTTCTAAATTTTATTCTCTCACAAACAGGGACAATTATTTATTATTAAGAATAAGACTTTGAAACACTTTCAGTTTTTAAAATAGCAAGGCTTCTGAAATATTGCTTAAAACTAGCTTTCCATTTTGGTATATGACCTGATACATGACACACTTGATCTGTTAATAGTTTTCTATCGACTATACTTTGCCCTCAGTAGGGATTAGTATTGTAGTTTCAAACAACTTTTATTTTTTAGATAAATAGATTTTAAAATAAGTCTTAATTTCATGAAGGGAGATTATCACTCACATACCTGTAGAAGGTAATTTGAGCGCCTACGTGTGTGTATTTTTTTTTTAAAGTAAGCTACTCTTACCATTAAAATAAACTAGACTACAGGAACAAACTATGAGACAATTTGTCTTCCTTAGAAATCCTTTTCCAGGTTGAAGAGGATCAGTAGTTTGCTGAATGATTTGATTAGGCTATAGGCTTTTCATCATCCCCTAATTCCATCTAGTAATGTCTGACCACCACAACTACACACGTGTCCACCTCCTCAGCAACACCAGCCTCTAGACTGATGCTGTTGGCTGAGCATTCAATGCTGCTTGCAGTCTTTGAATAACTCTCTCCACTTTATGCCCAACCTTGGCATCCATGTTAACTATCCACAAGCTCAAAACATCTTCCTCTTTAGAATGCACATGTCATAGTTTCTGTGCCTCTACCCTCCTTGAAGAACAGATAGACATCTCTTTCCAGCTTCTCTCCATTTCCTAGCTGCTTGAATGACTTCTTCAGTGAATGCTGCTCTCATTATCCCAGCTGTGAAATGCTGCCTTCCACTTGTAACAGTACCATGGTCTTTCCATCCAGAGATCTCTGCCAGCGCACATGATCTACCACAGCATGCATCATCTAGTGCACATCACCCACCCCATTCCCAGATGCTGCAGAGGTCAAGATAACCCACCCTGATGGGAATCCTCTTCAGTCTGTTACCTCAAAAGACTGAGGTCCTGCTAGCACTCTTCTTCTAAGAGGGAAGAAGTATTTTTCTGAGGTAACTCTTAACATTTTCTCTAAGAAATAAAATGCTCTTCACAAAAGCAGTCAAGCTTTTGTAGTACTTCTGATATATAAAAGACCACAAGGACTTTGGTGGGCACCTGCTGGATGCTACTATGGGAATCACCCTTGGTCCAGTGGATGGAGGATGGTGGCAGCTGTACCCCCAGAACCATTAATCTTGGAGCTGGCAACCATTTGCAACCGAAGCACCTCAGATAGAGGCTACCTCCATCCCCTTGGAAATGCAAAAGGCAGCTGCCGGTAATGTTTTGGGGTTTTTTGTTTTTTCTGGTAATGTTTTATAGTACTATATATCTTTTATAGTACTATATACATATAGTACTATATAGTACTTTGTAGCATTTATCACAGTTAACTGTATATTAATTTGTTGTTTGGTTAAGGTAAAATGTCTTCATTCAACTACTAATCCCAAATACATATAAGTTCTACTTGGTTTTGCTCACCACTATATCTACAGAACCTATTAG